CTTTGTAACTTGACACAAACGATTATTGTTCAAATTCATCTTTTTTTTTTGCTTCTGAAAATGAATTTATCAGGATGCGCGCAGCATAAACGTTGAATGCTCTGAAAATTGAAAATCAGTCTACCTATTAGCACAGTACAGAACTTATGGAATTTTTTGGGCAAAATGATCTCTAGATTATACAATTTGGTGGCCATAGTGAAGAACTTCGTAGCTATTTGATCACACCGTCAAATCATGGAGTAGTTCCTGTTAAAAACGATTATTAAACTTATTTATGGAAATATACTTCTCTATTCTACACCATAGACCATGAATCGCAGACATTTCTCACTGATCCTGTGATGCGCCACGTATTCTACTTTGGTGTAGGATCGTTGTTGAACTGGGGTAGGAGTCTGAGCAATGAGATGCACCATTTGATGTGACCCAATCCATTACTTTATGATCGTAGGTAACGTGACTCAACCGACCTCTGAGGAATTGTTGGCCTTGATGGCCTGTATGCATCATTCCACTGAGGAGCTTGGCTAGGCGTCTGGTAGAAAACCTCATTTTCTACTGCCTCTTCTCCAACTTTCGACTTCATGCTTCCAGTTACTAATCGTTATGCATTTTTTCACAACCGTTTGAGGTCCTCCAGTTTTTTAAGGCCCAAATTGCTGTTTATGTGGTTCTCTGGGGTCACGAAGACAATTACGAAATCGCAAAATTCAGATTTCAAAAATTATGCTGATATTTTTAATGAGCTCGAGAATGGAAGCTCAGAAATTTCTAGAATCTTGATGGTTATTTTGAAATTTTAATCGCGACAATAACTCTTTTCATCGCTCCATTTTTCGGCTATCAAAAAGCACAATCAACACCAAATTCCCAGTCCTTTATTGAAATATATCCATTCAGCATCACTCTTCTATCGTCATTGCTGCCATCCGGCTCATTTTCCTATCCACAGCAGCCGCAGTCTGCCTCGACAGACACCGAAGTGAAATCGACGACACCGCTGGCGATCCTTTCGTCAGCGGAAGAAGTCATTTGTGATTGCCGTAAAAGTGTTGTGATTTCTGAAGCTAACGACGACGACGACGAGGACGTCCTGCCACCTCCAGAAGAACACTATTCTGAGCAGCCGTTGGAGGAGGAAACAGACGGGAAGGTGCGTCATTTCCTTTTAGTCATCGATCTGTGTTACGAGGACAAACAGATGCGTCATTTCATCTACACCCCCGTCTTTATGGCATATTTTTCATCTTGGGTTTCGAAGGAAATTTTAAATTTGCATTTTTTTCTAAATTCCAGGTCTATTGACGTCCTCACCTCATTCATCTTTTTCCGTACCCATTATTACTTAACTTTCTTTTTATTCGATTTTTTTTTGCATTCTTGCACCATCGCATGGCTTTACTTCACCTTGGCCCTATCTGTTTATCAACCTCGATTTTTAGAGGTATTTAAAGGATATTTTTGAGGTCTAATTTAATCATCAGAAATAGCCAGTTGCAGCATTACATCGAGAAATGCCGTCCGCTATATCCCTGTCTTTTTTGGAGTACTTACCTCTTTCTGATTACGAGCCAGATGGAAGAATAGCCCTCCCTGGAAGAGTTTTCAGCTTCTAAGCTCGCTGTGTAGGCCTTGTCCTCGATATTTTGAATTTTTAGTCATCGTCTGGAATGCAAAAGGCTATAACAGACAATCATATTCCATCATGAGTCCAGATGTTGTTGCTAGATGCAGAATTCCATGAAGACTGGTAACAAAGAAGTGAAGTTATCTCTTTCAAATCTGGTGGGAAGCATTTCCTTGGAATTATTCACCCTGATGATACCCCAATTCATTGCTCCGAGAGCACCATCCGCACCATCTCGTACCATCTACTTCGGAGACCGAATTGCAGCTTGTGATGCTCGTTTACCCTTCCCATATCTTTACTTAATGGGGCGTATTGCCGTAAAATGGTACTCGGCTAGACCCCATGCTTTTTCTTCTGGAGACCTTATCTGGTACGGATCGAAGGATGATGATGCAGAGAAATAGCCACTGTTATTCTCTGTGGGATCAGAGTAGATAAACCACTACGCACATAAAGCGCATCCTTCATTCGCATCCGGGAAAATGCTTCGATACAAGGAAAGCTGTCGTTATACAACATGCTGCAGCTGATCATTGGGCTCAGTTATGCTATCAGGAGGGTTGTAGTCCGACCTGCATGTTCCTTTCTCAACCGCAAATATGCACCTATTGTTTATCAACCATGCCACGGTCTTCATCGTGCCTACCCTGCCTAGGTCCCCTGAGCGCTTTATCTTGTCGGAACTGCTGGCTTTCCCAGATCTGATGGGCAAAAAGTGCCGGGTTGGGAGTTGAAAGCACTCCTTGAAACTACATATGAAAAGTTTTTGGTGACCAAACGACTTGACCGAAATTTCTGTATTACGGTATGGACTTTTTCGCGGACGTCATGTGGAGGAGTACGAGCGGCGCAACTGGCTCAAAATAAAAAATTCGTTTTATGCAGCCATTCTAAGCAGAAATTCGTTCCTCTACAGTCGCCTGCTCTATCGCCACATGATATCGACCTTCACTTATATAATTATATCTCAATGGCCCTTCTTTCCAGCTTCTGCCCCATGGATTAATCTTGGACTCCATGGGACTCACTGAACTCCTTCACCCTGGAGGCGTTTTTTCACGTTCTGGTTCTTTATATGTTCTCTGCAAGAATTACTTGCTTCCTTCTGCTCCTCGACGTGCTCACTCCCTCAAGGGAGCGAGCGTTACGGACACCGAGTTTTTTCCCAGAAATCTCCCCTGATTGGTAGTAACAATGTCTGCCGTTGAATTCTGAGCATCGTTGCCCGTCGCAATCTGCAAAAGTGCGTTCCAATTTCCATAAATCAGAGCTATGGCTCTTCGCCGCACGCGACGCCGTAGGGCGGTAGCCATCGGGGCCGATGGGGAAGCGAACACGTCACGGAGGAGCGATACGATCTCTTCAGCCATCACCCCTATCGCTTCTCATTCCCGGACCACTCCCATTGCTGCTATAAGTCTCATTTTCAACGGCACGTTCGAGTCAGCAACCATTCACCGCCCTACCTTTTGATAACCATTTTTGTAGGTTTTCATGAATCAGGGTCAACCTCCATGGAAGCCTGATTTTCTCAATTTCTTCCTGTTTCCGTATCGTTTCCAACGGTGACATCACGTCATGGCGAAAGAGAAATGGCAGCTGTAAAAGCAGGCCGCATTTGCGTAATTGACCGGTTTATATTGCATTTGCCCCCACATTCTAATACACTGGATCATTTGAGATTATGGTTATGCCTTTCATTGTAATGAT